AGATTTGAGGACATGGGCTTGAGCATGATGTAATTATGTTATCTATTACATTCGCTAACCTGTCTGTCTTCAAACAGCTCTGGATGCCGGTCGGCGAGGTGCTTAGCCAAGCTTGATGTGTTGGCTCCCTTGGTTTGCAGGGATCTAAAACATGTCTTACAGACAGGCCTCGTGGTGTCCGTAGGCTTGCCCTCACTGTCAGAGATATAGCTCAAATACTTCCACATTTCGCTTCTGGCGTCTTTTTTGTCAACAAGCCGAGGCGCAGCGGCAGTTGCACTCCCACTTGCAGCCATGCTTCTCGTTTTCTCACATGCTCTGGCAGCTAGTGTGTGCATGAGAGAGGGGAGGCACTTAGAGCGTGCTTGAGAGGGGAGGGACTGCAGGCACGGCTGCAGTGCAGGGAGTGGAGGCAGAGCGCTGAACACACACAGCACTTATTAAAACAGCGCTTTCTCACCGGAGTACTTTTCCCCGTCATTCTTAAAGTACCGATACTATTGAAACGGAAGAATCGTAACATTTTTAATGGCAGGGTATCGCGGTACCTTTCAAGTATCGGTACACCGTGCAACACTACAATGGGACCACCTGGTTAAATAAAGGTTTAAAAAAAAAAACATAAAACTACACATCTTCAGATGTTATACAAACATAAGTGTCCTACACTAATAATGCAAAGTTATTATGTCATTGTATGCTGTGTGTTATTTGTAACATCTTCAGAAACTACCTTTCCAACTCCTCACCAGTTGACTCAGAGACACAGAGACACAGAGACAGAGACACAGTGACAGAGAGACACAGAGACACAGTGACAGAGAGACTCAGAGACACAGTGACACAGAGACACAGAGACACAGAGACACAGTGACAGAGAGACACAGAGACAGAGAGACAGAGACAGAGAGACACAGAGACAGAGAGACTCAGAGACACAGTGACACAGAGACACAGAGACACAGTGACAGAGAGACACAGAGACAGAGAGACAGAGACAGAGAGACACAGTGACAGAGAGACTCAGAGACACAGTGACACAGAGACAGAGTCAGAGAGACACAGAGACACAGTGACAGAGAGACTCAGAGACACAGTGACACAGAGACACAGAGACACAGAGACACAGTGACAGAGAGACACAGAGACACAGAGACAGAGAGACTCAGAGACACAGTGACACAGAGACAGAGACACAGAGACACAGTGACAGAGAGACTCAGAGACACAGTGACACAGAGACAGAGACACAGAGACACAGTGACAGAGAGACTCAGAGACACAGTGACACAGAGACACAGAGACACAGAGACACAGTGACAGAGAGACACAGAGACACAGAGACAGAGAGACTCAGAGACACAGTGACACAGAGACACAGAGACACAGAGACACAGTGACAGAGAGACACAGAGACAGAGAGACAGAGACAGAGAGACACAGAGACAGAGAGACAGAGACAGAGAGACTCAGAGACACAGTGACACAGAGACACAGAGACACAGAGACACAGTGACAGAGAGACACAGAGACAGAGAGACAGAGACAGAGAGACACAGAGACAGAGAGACAGAGACAGAGAGACACAGAGACAGAGAGACAGAGACAGAGAGACACAGAGACAGAGAGACAGAGACACACAGACAGAGACACAGAGACAGAGTGTCAGGGCCTCTGCTCCCCCCCTCTGTTTCTGTGTGTGTGTCTGTGCTTGATTACAGGACTGGGATCTGTTGTGGAGGGGCCAGGCTGTCAATCTCAATCTGGGCTGGGCTTTAGATACTGGGCCTCCAGCCCCTCCTGGATTACTCTCTCTACGTCACCTGGACCACACTCGGGACAAAGGATTCCCCCCCCCCCATGTGGACTCACCCTGCCTGGCTCAGCTCAGCCCGTCTGCTTCTACCCTCTAAGTAATCTTAACAAAGCCTTTTGCAACCGCTCCCTATCTCAGTGCTTTGTCTTCTGCATTTGGGTTCAATCGGTTTTCTAGCCTGACAGTACGATCTGACCAGAAAATGTAACCCAGCAGACACAGACTCTGAGGTTTCCCCGGATTGTTCACAATTTAAGAATGCCCTCTGCAACCAGGGCTAACTCCTAGGGCAGCATGAGCAGATATTACAGGCCCTCAATGATAGCAACCAGGCCATGCTTCATCAAGTCAGCCAGTTGACCCACCAAATCACAGCTCTATCAGCCTCAACTCTCCCCGCGAATCTCCTCCTCTTTGCCCCCAGCAGCAGTTGATCCTATCTCTAATCCTGCCCCACCCCTTCCAGAGCCCTATGTGCCCGCACCAGAAAAGTACGCTGGAGATCTTGGTTCCTGTGGCACATTTTTTACCGAATGTTACTTAGTTTTTGAACAGCAACCCCTCTCCTGCCACTGACCGCTCCCGTATTGCATATCTTATTAATTATATGCATGTCCGTACTATATGTATTTAAATAAATACATGATTTATTCATTTTGGCTTTGGAGCCAATCCTTTTTATATTCCAGTTTAGGAGCAGAAAGTGAGGCCTGAGATCCAAGAGGGAGGAAAGTGATCTGGGTTAGCTGGGTTTTCGGATCAGTACCTCTGGATTATCGCATGGATATTTGAGAAGGCCAGAGAAAATCCGATTGTCCCGCATGCTTCTGGTTCTAAATATTCATTACTGTCTCATTCACCGTTTTTTTAAATTTTATAACAGAACATTCTTTCAAAATAAAAAAACTCCAAATGATTGTGCAGCGCTCTTTAAAAATGTATGATGAAGTGTGCCCAGCCGAGCCAGTTAGGATAGTGACCACAATATTGTTGGCAGTTAGGATAGTGACCACAATTCATGTTGCTTGTGTCTGTTCCTCATTTCAACTGTTTTGTACGAGTCTTGCTGGATAGCAGTGGGAGTCATAAAGTGTTCTTATTTTCAGTGAGTGACTTGATGCTGCAATGATGAATCTCACTCATGTGTAATGTGTTAGATACTCAGTGTGCTATCAGCTGTGCACTTGAGGAGAGGAAGCGGCTGATGTGTAATCCAGAAGCTTCTGGGATTGTGTTGGACGATGTGGCTTCATCTGATCTCTTCCGGTCACCCGAGTCATTTACAGCTCTTTACAGGAAGGTGTCACTTTTTCAGAGGAATTCCTTTTTATCTGGCCAAAGGCAAAATAAGTGTTGTTTTTCTATATCTGTAGCTATTATATACAAGTGAATATGTATAGTCTGGTATTGCATTACTGGAATTACTCTAGTTTCATATTAATGTAACAGGAAATATTTTATGCAAATAGGTCAAAACCAATACAACTTTGTTGTTATGGAAACTCAGTTTATGCCCAACACAAAATAAATGATACTTTTACAAACACAATGTCATGTTGGTATTGGTGTTGCTTGAGTGTATTGTGTAACAATGACAGTGTTTCTTTAAGGCAGCTACACACCCACCTGAGACCAAAGAACGCGTACCGAAGGCGTCCCGACTTTTACGTCAGCTACGTCGCCTGCGTCGGCTACGCCGCCCGTAGATTATTTGTTTATTAACCAAAACATTGCGGAGGAGGATATTTATTTCCTCTTTTTCTAATAAAGGGCAAAGTAAGTCTTCAGTTTATACACTGCACATCCCACTGCTGTTTGTTAAGACTACTTCTTAGAGCGCAGGGACATTATTAAAGAAGATGCAGATACAAATGCCAACATTTATCATGTTATTGACTAGACAGTAAGAGATCAATGTTCTTTTATTTGGATTGTTCCGCCTGTTTCATTGACACGAGTGAGATATTACTCATATTTGTGAGGTTGTATACTTCCTTGTAAGAATGATAAACTTGGCAGTAGCTATGGCACAATTAGATAAACCCGTCCAATTTTCTAACATCTGTGATTTCTTTGGGACATAAAGACAACAAACCCAGCAGTTTCAGCAGCTTTATTTTCCACTTTATTTATTTTCCTTTTCTTCTTACTCTACAATTTAAACATTGCACTAAGCAGGAATGAAAAAGTGCAGCTGGTGACATGAAAGACAGTTGTCTGCATGAGTTAAGTTAACAACGAAACAGATGCAATGGTTCTGTGATGTTGACCAGGTGCAGTTCACTATCCAACCAGAGACCGAGTCAGGGACTCTTTCGTCAGAGGTTTTCATCAGCACACCTCTGTCACTGCGAGCAGAACAAACCATCTGTGTGTCCTATAGAACTCAAATGCTATCACTTAAACTCTTGGAAGTCTAAAGCATCTTTATTGACCCTTCTTTAAAAAACATGACAAGCAGAGGACATGTCACTTCATAACCTCGAGCCCAAAGAAGAACCGAGTTGGGTTCAAATAATGTTCAAAGCACTCTGAATACCGACATATGTATGTCTAAGAAAAGTGCAGACATCAAGAACCATTCTCCCACCCTGTGGCGATATTTTTAGATAATGCCTGAACCTTAAAGAACAACTTTTTAGTTTTAATACAGCATAACAGTACATTCATTTTAAATCCATGCATGTATTCTGGATAGAAATGTTTTATCCAGGAAATGAATCTAACATTAAATTGATCTGTCAGTGGTATTGACCACTTTGCCAATACAATCTTAGGGATTTAGTGCTAGCTACACATTATTCTGCAGTGTGTGAAGTAATACAACTGTAATAAGCTAATGCTAATGTTCTGATGCAATCAAAAAAGGATCCTTAGCAAAGATTGTAATAATAAAGTGTACATACTACTATGCAACACAAAGTGTGTCTGAAAACATAATGCTGTTCCGATTTGTTTTTAAATCAATGCACTGCAGTATGAAGCATGCAGAGATGAAGGAACTGTTTCAGCCAACTTTATAGGAGACACTTAAATCATCACTGGTGTTTTAATGTATTGTAGGACGGACATGACCCATGACAAAAAAAACCTGCATGTTCAGATTGATCCTGTTACATCATTATAGAGGGATAATAAAAACAGCAGTATTGACCAGGGCACATTTAAAATGATCAATGACAGGATGTCAGTTTTTTATTAGAGTTGATGCATTTCTTATATTATTCACCGCTGATTAGTAATGCTAATGGGTATTCATTTTTTTCAACTGTTCTATTTGTGTGGATCAGTGTCAAAAAAGCCACATGGAATCTACTCTGATTCAACAGAGTAAACACAAACCCTTGTTAGGGGTTGGGGACACTACAGAGCTGTTCGATAGTCAACAATGGGCAGTATCTATTTATGAACATTTATCCTTAGAGGAAGTGGGGTAAATAAACCTAAAACATTCAATGAAGTTGTTGACAGTGAATACAAACATCAAATCTCCAATCAATAGTATAAACTCCAATTTGATAAAAACGGGTAACTTGAGATTTCTGCCCTTTATTTTTTTAAACAGAAATCACTTCAAATAGGATTTTAGAAGCAAAGGCGAGCAGAAATACAGATGAATCACATACTGCCATAATACATTGCCCCGAATCAACGTATTGCCTAGTTTATGTGACTTTTTAGTAAATGTGTGTGTGTTCATCCCAGTTTAAGTGGACGGCTGTGCAAAAAGTTGGACTGATTTCAAAAGTAAGCCACAATTCTGTAACTGAATTAATTACAGCTTTGTTGCAGATGATATCACAATAATACACTTTTTAATTTGGTCTTTATTAGTCTACAAAACGTACTGGTCTCTTATGGAAATATGTCCTCTGTACATGTCTGATGACTCCTACCGTTTACCATAGCTCTGTTCCAGCCAGTGCTTCACATCCTTTAGATTGTAAAAAAAAGGACCCTTACCGCCAAGGTAGGCAATCTTTCTCTGTTGCACAATACAAACCCTCTCATTGGACACACCATAAGCCACATTAGCATTGTTGTCCATGCAGTCTGCCACCAGCTGACACTGGGGGGGCAGGGAAAAGTGCTCGATAAGTTTGCGTGCGGCCCCCAGCCGCTCCTCCAGGTTCTGGTGTTTTTGGATATTGAACGCGCAGGAGCCCATAGGAGGGGCCACCCAACCATCAGACGGGTGAGCCTCATCAATGTACACTAACAGGAAGTCAGCTACCTCACTGAAGTCCTCCACCAACTGGCGGAAAGCTGGCAGGTGGCTGATGAAGGGGGGTCAGGTGGCTGAGCCAAAGTTGACCACCAGAGGGCGATCTGACGACTCAAAATCCAGAAGGTTGCACTCATCTCTGGTTCCAGTCATGGCACCAGGCGGCACATCTGCCTTATCACTGAGACTGCTGCCCCCCCCGAGGCCATCCGGCACCTTCACCACTTTGGAGTTGGGTGCCTCGCAGCCAAGTTTCACCTACGGAGATACAAATAGATTAGATTGATAAGGGCTCTGCTTTTAGCTTTTAACAAACTATTTTTTCAATGTTATGCACTTCATCAGAATAAAATCCAACATATATAATATATAGTTTCCCTTGATAATGGATATCTACCTCACACAACTAATACGTTTTAATGAAGTTCAGTCTGAAGCTTATGCCTTTAGTTCATTTCTAAATCTGCCATTTCACTCCCCTGAGGCATCCTCACTCACAATTTCTGGTGTGATTGGGTGCATCCCAAGTCTCGGATTTGATATTTCACTACTTGCGGGGATACACAGGAGCATCCTTCAGGGAAATATTTTACCAGCCGACACGCCCCCTTTTTGTAGATCAGTTATTAAATGGACACTGCAGCTGATCACTGAAGATTCATACTGGAATGAGGTCAGAATACAGATTTAATAGCTGATAGCTAGAGTGCTGTGGTCCTATGAAAAGTGTTTGCAGTTGTTAAAGCTGATCCAACTGTGATCGCCTCATGTGGTGCTCCAGAGGAAAGGACATCTTCATTTTCTATAAAACCCATTTCCTCTCTCCTCAGATGGTCTCCTTGCATATCTCCATGCATTTCCAGGTGGAAGGGACTAAGACACAAGTCAGAGTATCTTTGATGCAAGTTAATAGACTCGTGGCATCCAGAGTCTGTGGCTGTCCGTTGGATGTCAGCTGTTCTCATCAGCTGGTCACATCTATCCAATAGCACAGCGACACACCTACATTGTTAGCCTATCATCATGCTGCTGTTGAGTGTTATCCATTACAAATCTCCCTGTAGAGTCTAAGCGCCAACTAGGCCTGTCGCGATAAGCAATTAATTGACTTATCGTACGATAAATAAAAATGAACTCGATAACTTTTCTGACCTCGATAAATTGCCGTTTACATGCCCGTTACATGCGCTGGCTGCCGGCCAGGCGCGCTGTGAGGGGCGGGGCTCACAGCCAGGTCAGGACACTCCGCGTGCAACAGTGTAGCAGCCAAATGAATAATATAGACAAGCAGGAGACAACGTGTGAGTTACTCGAGGGGAATTTGAAGTTAAATGGAATTGGTTGCAAAACCTAACTCCACATCTCCGGTGTGGGAATATTTTGGATTTAAGCCAAATCAACGAGGCGAATCTACGGACTTGAATGAGCCGGTATGTCGCATTTGTTTTAAAAAGGTAGCAACAAAAGCTAGTAATACGACCAACCTTAAACTGCACCTGAAACACATCCACCCCATTCCGTTTTCCCAGCTGGGAGCAAACACGGCAGCTGGAGATGGAGATGGCATTTGCCCAACAATGCAAACATGTTGGTGTTCCTTGCTCGAAATCTTTGAATTACAGATTTGGATATGGCCTGTTGAGGCATCTGGGTCTTTGTATGGACAGTGCTTGTGAGACAATGTGTGCTCATATTTATTTATATATATATAGAGAGAGAGAGAGCTCTGTTTTCCAGCCTGAGTCTATTTAATGCATTGTTTTGGTTGTGTGTGATTTCATTAGTTTTCTATAATTTAATTTATTTGTTTTATTTATTATATATAATTTATATATTTGAATATTATTCCACATTTCATTTGCAATGTTGAATGTTCAATAAAAAGTTCTGTTTGAAAGGATGTACTTGAATTATTATTATATATTATCATTATGTCAGTGGTCTAAAATGGTCTTACAACGGTTTATCGTTTATCGTTTATCACAATAATTTCCAGGAAAATTGATCGTCCAACAAAATGTATTATCATGACAGGCCTAGCGCCAACAACTCAAAACATACACCTATCATCTGTTCTTATAGACGTTATGTTTTATTCATTTGTCTCTCTTAATTGAATATGTTTTATCTGCTCTGGCTACAATGTAAGTGGGGAGACTACCTTGGGATGAAGCAGGAAGTCAGAAACAGATGTTTTCTTTTTTCCCGCTCTGCTGACATTGCATGAATGAGGCATTAGGCGGGGACTTTGATGAGGTGGCCAAACTCAGTAAAGTAAATATAATCACAAAGGTTTTCAAGTAGGAACAGGTGCAACACATTTGGCACTTTCACACCGGAGTACTTTTCCCAGGAACTAGGCCGATAGTTCTTGGGATTTTGGTTTCACACCAAAAGGATCTGGAACTAGAACCTAGTTCGTGCGAACCTTTTCACCCCCTGGGGGGGAAATGGGGAGGAAATGGTTCGTGGGTGTGTCGGCCACACTAACAATTTCTGATTGGCTGGGCGAATTGCAAACCACGCCCCGTAAAACTCTGAAAGGTTTTGTGAAGCCGCCATTTTATTTGCTCGCATTAGCATTATTAGCATTAGCATTAGCCCAGCGCAGAAACGGAGAGAGACTAACTTATGGCAACACAAAATAAAACATGGGAGCGGTGGAGTGATGAGGAGGTGTCAGCGCTTCTGGCGATTTACTCGGAAGACGCTACCCAGCAGCTTCTACTGAAGCCAGTCCCCAACTCCGGGGGACTCCGGGACTTCGGGTGGCAGTATACGCCATGAAGTTGTTTGCGGCCTGCCAGTAAACCCAAAGAAGAAGAAGAAGAAGTGACGTCAGCGGCTTCATTTGCATAATCCTCCCTCAGGGACTTATTCCGGTGTGAACGCGATCTACAGGACAGTTCCAGGGACTAAAGAGTTCGGGGGGACTAAGACCCCATTTACACAGGAACGTTTGCGTTTACGCACCGTATGCGTTTTCAAAAAAGTCTTCCGTTCACACGCATTCGGCTCAATTAACGTGTCTGTTCACACGAGACCGCTCGACTCGCTGGAAACGCTGGAAACGCTGTAGTACATGTGCCGGGCCTGCCGCCACAAAATACACCAAAAGCAGCGAAGAAAACCCTGGAGCATGGTTGCCATGGTTGCCCTTCTGTTTATTCTCCGCGGTGGACGGCGTGTGCTCCTGCTGTAAATCTCTCCGGTAGTCCACCAGCAGATGAAAAACACCCACCTCTCCGCCTCGTTCAAGTTTAAATCTTCCGGACAAAATTTTAAAAGTGCGGGTCAGAAGTCTTCTTTGTTATTTATTGAGCTTTAAAACAAATTGATAACGACTCGATATGATAATATAAGAATAATAAACGGAGCCTCTCTTTTCCTCCCCCTCTTCTTACGGCCCCTACACACGGCGGCGTGCGTTGACGCTTCAACGCTTCTGCCCATTCACTTTGAATGGGGTGACGTCACGATTCGCCGAACTGCATTCTGGGAGCAAAGCGTAGCTTTTCTCGTGGTGCTCGCTGCAAAAGTAGAGCAATGTTCTACTTTTGAAGCTGAGGCGGAGGCGTCAGCCAATCAAATCCCGCGTATGCAAATCTGCCAGTACAAGCGCTAGCCAATCAAACCGTGTGTATGCTGAGAGAGCCATAAAATATGCCAAAAAATGGAGGAGAAAATAATCGTAGCGGTAGGGAATCACCCGGTGCTTTCAGTCCCTGTTCACCTACCGGGATACAAACCGGAGGAGCCAGGCATGGAGGGAGGTGGCAGAGACAGTGGGTGAAACTGGTAGGTTTTCGCCTGTTTGGGGAGTTTATATCCAGTGTACTTCGTTTGAATGGACAGCAGGCATAGACAGTATATTTAGCCACCATGCAATGTTGCATAAAATAGCACCATAGACATTAATTAAAAATCGCTTTTTAGACATTAATGTCTATGGTGAGATTCATACACGGGAGCCTTTTTAAAGCCTTTTTACCCCGCTGCAAACAGAAACCCCCCCCCTTCCCATCACAAACTTTACACAGACCCCCCCTTCCAATTATCAACTCCTGTCTTGTTTCCGCAAACTCTTGTGTCCTGCAGCAGCTAAAAGTTTTGCAAGCCCCCGTTCGTTTAGTACCTAAAATAATAGACATGGCTTTTTCCAGCTGACAAACCCGACTTTCTGGTCACTTCTTAAATTTTCCAGCCCTTGGGGAGAGACACGGGAGATTCATGTGATTGGTTGTTGGTCGTGTTGCTCGCGTAAACTCCCCAAGCTCAAGACACGCCCACCGCCAAGCGGCAACACACGCCGCCGTGTCTAGGCTGCGTTACAGCCCAGCAGCTGATCTCTGAGCAGGAGACGTGGGGAGAGAGAGGCGGGGCTATTTCATCGTTATCAGAAAATGATCGTATAGAGGCGTACACACGGAGCCGTTTGACCCCCCAGAGCGTTCCGTTTGCAGATCTATCCACCTTGGGACCCGTTATCGTTTGCGGGGTCCGTTTCTATCGTTTTGTTACGGCCTCGTGTAAACGAAAGGGCTATACGCAAGAGAAACTATGTGGATACAACCCGTATCGTCCTCATGTAAACGGGGTCTAAGTACCGGGAACTAAGTACCGCAAAGTAATTGGTGTGAAAGCGGCTATTGAGAGAGCGGCTGCATGCCACACAGCAGGAGCACAGGGGGAGGAGGGGCTTTCACTATTATTAAAAGTTCAATGGTGATGACTTATCTGAAATTGTGTTCCTGAATGAAACTGTTTTGAGGAATGGCACAACTAACCTTCTTGAAATAAAAGCGCTATGACTTTTTTTTTCTAAATATTGTAGAAACATATTGATTTTGGTGCTTTGAAATATTGTCTTTTTCCCCCATGGTCACCAAGACATGAAATGTCAAGAGACTTGAAGACTTATTTTCACTGTAGGATTTGAATACTTTTCTGAGTGATAACATTTAGGGTCGAATGATTGGCCATTTTAGAGTTATATATCTCCTCCAATGATTTTTATGTTTTTAACAAATAGGCTACTTGCCTTAGAAATAAGATGGATCTGGTGGTCTTCACTTATGAGGGGCATGCATGGAAAACACAAGGCTAAATCATAACTGATCTACACTTGCAGTACAGTTGCTCTCATTAACATGTATGTTAACAACATGTTTGTTTTAAAGGTAACACCTCTGTGTTAAGAGACTCTGAAAGTTTGGGAAAAAAGATTCTCCCTCTTTTTTGTCCTGATCCATTTATATAGAGAGGCGAAGTCCCTCCCCTTCCGGTGGGACTCATGGGACCTTATTTCGGAAAAAGTTTGTATTGAAGTCAATGGAGAGAGAAAGATTATCTTTCGATCCCGTTTGAATTGTGCCACGAATTACACATATGATGTTTGTCAATCTTAAATAATAATTTCCATGTCAAAAAAGTCACAGTTTGTCGTAAAACTGTTGAAATATAAGACTACTGTATGAAAAATACGCAACTAGAAAGACTACAAATCCCAGAATCCCGGTCCCGCATGCTGGCTCTTACGAACCGACTAACTCCCCTTGTGTGTATGTACAGCTCTCAACATGCCCAGACTTGGAGTGATTTTCACCTCTTTTAATACTTTCCGCCTCATTCTGAAAGAAAGAAGTGAAATGTGCCAACGTGACGGCCGTCTTGGTGTGTGGTGCGAGATGGGAGATGTAGTTCATTGAGCGGTTTCACACAAAGAAAGTGTTACTTCACAGTTTTACGACACATTTTTATTTTTTTGACTTGTAAAATTATCTTTTAAATTGACAAACATCATATGTGTAATTCGTGGCACAATTCAAACAGGATCGAAAGATAATCTTTCTCTCTCCATTGAGATGCATAACTTTTCCGAAATAAGGTCCCATGGAGCTCAACCGGAAGGGGAGGGACTTCGCCTCTCTATAAAAACCTGTCTGAAAATGAGATCTGAAAAATCTGATTTTGCCACTTTGTGCCAAATATTTTTGGGGTTGTGTATTAGCCAATCACCAACCGAGATATGCTGCAATGATCTGTTTGGTGTTTCAGACAAACACTTCAGATACATGTTTGTATATCTGAGACCTATAATATATTGTAGATAAAGAGTATAATAGGAGACCTTTAAGTTAATTGACCTAATTAGTGCGAATGCTGTTTACAGCATTCCACTATAGTTCTTCGAATCTTTATTCTTCCCCTTATTATTTCAGCCAATACTTTGGCACTCCATAACTTCAGTTTATTTTCAGCTACAGAAACCATTCAAATATTAAACTATTCAGCCTGTTCAGGAATCGATGGGAAACCTTCACATTTTTTAAAATATTTTATACTTCTTGAAATATTCAGCTTTTTAAACTCTTTTTTTAACATGGAAGTCAATGGGAGATGCCTTCAAATCCTCTTTTCCTACACTTTGCGCCAAATGCTACTCCTTCCACATACTTTCAGCTAGACACTTCATTCCAACTTTCAAATGATCACAAGACCTTCAGCTATTCAAACTTGATTTTTATCTTTGATATCTTTTATACTTCTTGAGATAATTAACTTTGTTTGGAGCTTGGTAAAGAGGCTTTCTTCAGATTTTAACATTAGTGTGGATGGAGCAGCTCGTTAAGTCTAGAGTGCTTTGATCTCAAAACAGAGTGGAGGGGTGCTTCAAATTCTCCTCAAAAAATGTTTTAAACTTGCCATAATTCCCAAACCCTACACTTCTCAGACATAATTTTTCATGAAAAACGTAGGAAAACCTCTCCTAGGTTGGAAAATAAAAAAGAATTAAGAAAAAATATTAAACAAAAATGCCTCTTGAGGGCATGAAGACACAAAAAGTCCACCTAGCTCCCAATTGATTCCCATGTTAAATCTTTCCGGAACTTTCTTCAGAACAGAGAGAAGTACACTTTAGACAAACTGCTTCCATCTCCACATTTTACACACAAAACCAAAAAAAACAACATATATCAGTTCATTGGGGTTCCCTGATGCTCACGGTCTGGTAATTTTTTGATAGGAGCCATAGTTTTTTAACAGGTGGCAAAATTGTCAGATATAATCCTCAATGCATTCTTAATGTGACTCAGTGCTGCAGTTGGAAAATCGTCATAAGTCGTCACCATGGTAACCTTTGATCTCTGGGCTTACACACACAGGTGTTTGTAAACATTCATTCACTACTACTTACATTTAATATCTAACTCCTTCAGCCTACTTTCAGCTATAAACCATTCAACTATTACATTATTCAGCTATTTCAGGACATTGGGGCTATACATGTAGTTGTTTACACCTTTTTTAAACCTTTTCTTTTAAATATTAAGCTTCTTCACTATTTACTGCGAATGCTGTATGCTGTGCATTGAAATATCAAAGATATTCTGCTTTTTCATCACATGATGGGAAACTTTACATTTTTCAAAAGTTGTTATACTTGAAAAAAATATCTAGGTTTTTAAACTGTCTTTTTAGATGTTTAACTTGTTTCTCTCTCTCTCTCAGACTCAGACACAGACTCTCTCTCTCTCTCTCTCTCTCTCAGACTCAGACACAGACTCTCTCTCTCTCTCTCTCTCTCTCAGACACAGACTATCTCTCTCTCAGACTCAGACACAGACTCTCTCTCTCTCAGACTCAGACACAGACTCTCTCTCTCTCTCTCTCAGACTCAGACACAGACTCTCTCTCTCTCTCTCTCTCTCAGACACAGACTGTCTCTCTCAGACTCAGACTCTCTCTCTCTCTCTCTCTCTCAGACTCTCTCTCTCTCTCTCTCTCTCTCTCTCTCTCTCTCTCTCTCTCTCAGACTCAGACACAGACTCTCTCTCTCTCAGACTCAGACACAGACACAGACTCTCTCTCTCTCTCAGACTCAGACACAGACTCTCTCTCTCTCTCTCTCTCTCTCACAGACATACAGACAGACAGACACACACACACTCTCTCTCTCTCTCTCTCTCTCTCTCTCACACACACACACACACTCTCCCTCTCTCTCACAGACACATCAAGAGAAGTGAGAGGAGGGTGATTAGGAAGAGTCGATAGGGTGATCAAGAGAAGAGAGAGGGCGATCAAGAGGAGAGAGAGAGGGCGATCAAGAGAAGAGAGAGAGAGGGCGATCAAGAGAAGAGAGAGAGGGTGATCAAGAGGAGAGAGAGGGCGATCAAGAGGAGAGAGAGAGGGCGATCAATAGGAGAGAGAGAGGGCGATCAAGAGGAGAGAGAGTGGGCGATCAAGAGGAGAGAGAGTGGGCTATCAAAAGGAGAGAGAGAGGGCGATCAAGAGGAGAGAGAGAGGGCGATCAAGAGGAGAGAGAGAGGGCGATCAAGAGAAGAGAGAGGGCGATCAAGAGGAGAGAGAGGGAGGGCGATCAAGAGGAGGAGAGAGGGCGATCAAGAGAAGAGAGAGAGAGAGGGCGATCAAGAGGAGAAGAGAGGGCGATCAAGAGAAGAGAGAGAGAGGGCGATCAAGAGGAGAGAGAGAGGGCGATCAAGAGGAGAGAGAGAGGGCGATCAAGAGGAGAGAGAGAGGGCAATCAAGAGAAGAGGGCGATCAAGAGAAGAGAGAGAGGGCGATCAAGAGAAGAGAGAGAGAGGGCGATCAAGAGAAGAGAGAGGGCGATCAAGAGAAGAGAGAGAGAGGGGCGATCAAGAGAAGAGAGAGAGGGTGATCAAGAGGAGAGAGAGAGGGCGATCAAGAGGAGAGAGAGAGGGCGATCAAGAGGAGAGAGAGAGGGCGATCAAGAGGAGAGAGAGTGGGCGATCAAGAGGAGAGAGAGTGGGCGATCAAGAGGAGAGAGAGAGGGCGATCAAGAGGAGAGAGAGAGAGGGCGATCAAGAGGAGAGAGAGAGGGCGATCAAGAGGAGAGAGAGAGGGCAATCAAGAGGAGAGAGAGATGGCGATCAAGAGGAGAGAGAGAGAGAGCGATCAAGAGGAGAGAGAGAGGGCGATCAAGAGGAGAGAGAGGGCGATCAAGAGAGAGAGGGCGAGCAAGAGAAGAGAGAGAGAAGAGAGAGAGGGCGATCAAGAGAAGAGAGAGAGGGCGATAGAAGATTGAGAGGGTGATCAAGAGAAGAGAGAGGGCGATCAAGAGAAGAGAGAGAGTAATGTAACCTCCTAATGTAATGTATAACTACTATGAAAATGTTCAAAAAGTGCTCAAACTTCACATGTGTGCTAACAGTCCAGCCGTGAAGACATCTACGGGACAGTTTTGAGATTTCTTCAAATGCCGTTGCCATGGCAACACAATGCTCACCATGAAACACGGTTTTCTCATAACTTCAGTGAAAATGCTCGAAATGGCCCAAAACTTCACAGGTTTGGTAACGATGCAGCCATCAACACATCTAAGCGTATTATGGGGTGTCATCAAATGCCGTTGCCATGGCGACAGATAATTCACCATCAAGTTAGTTCAAAAGTTTGTAGTTCAAATATTCTGCTGCTTTCCCAAGCCTTTTTACTTTCTTTTCTCATCTTAATACAAATTCATTCACTACTACTTACATCTGATATTTAACTCCTTCAGCCTATTTTCAGCTGCAGAAACCATTCAACTATTACATTATTCGGCTATTTCAGGACATCAAGGCTATACATGTTTTTTTAAACCTTTTCTTTTAAATATTAAGCTTTTTCTGCATTTTTTTTGCTAAAAGCAATTCAGCTAATAACATATTCAGCTTTTTCTGCATTTTCAGCTAAATTAATTCACAGTTTACAGCATTCGCACGCATTTTCTGCAGGAAATGCATTTTCTAGTTAATTATGCACTTTATATATTTACTCTTTTTTATTTTAATGTTGTTGACCCTACTTTTGTATTTTACTAAATGTCTTGTAGCCGACTGATATTCTATTTAAAACTGTTTTACGTGTTACTTCCTACACCCTTCATTTGTATTACATCTCTCAGAATGAATAAAGCTCTGTCTTGTAGTATTTATTCTGCGTACACTGGTTGTACGAAGACAGAGACAGAAACATATGGATAACGAACAGTAAGCCTGGGCTACTCACACACACACACACACGCACGCACACACACGCACACGCACGCACGCACGCACGCACGCACGCACGCACACACAGTATTTGGTAAAACTGCGTCATGGCATATTCCTGAAGTTGAAACACAGTGAGTGTATGATTATGGGTCCAGGTCCCTGGGACTCCGCAGGATCAGCCCCTACCTGTTTGTATGCGTCCAGCAGGAAGCTGTTCCAGATGGAGCGCAGCCCCGCGGAGGTCAGCATGCGGGGCCGCTCTCCGGAGCCCGCGGGGCGCGAGCAGCTGAGCAGCGACACCGCGCGCTTCACCAGCACCACGGAGTCATAGAGCGCGAGGAACAGACAGTTGGAGAAGAAGCCGGGCAGTATCTGGAGGGTCACCAGCAGATCCTCACTTGCCATGCCCATGGTGTCTTCCTGCGTGTATCCGACCGCAGCACAACTATTGCAGCGCGCCCTGCATGCCTCCAGCGGCGCGAGGCTCCGTGCGCGCTCAGAGTTCAGCGTGCCTGTGTCCCCCTGCTGTGTGCTCGCAGCTGCACGAGGAGGCTGGAGCTCCATAACTCGTCCTATAAATGCGAACATTATATTTCATATTAAGCCACACGGCTTATCTTTGTAGAAAGATTGACGTCAGATGTAGACAGTGAATACCCTCCTCCCCCCTCCCTCGGGTTGAGCTGCAGCTCCACTTTGGCTTTTTCATTCTTCTTTTTTGTGTAAAGGTTTCTCTGAGCAATTTGTAATTCTCCTGAGCCTGTGGGGGAAAAAACATTTAAGATGTATAAATCTTGTTTTTTTTATTAGAAAGCATATTGCCACCATGAGGAAACATTTGTAATTAATAAGTCTTTATTGTGTTATATATTTAAATGATATACAAACTGACCAAAAAGCGGTCTATAATTAGCCAAAAGCCGAAATCCTGCGTGCTCACTTCTATACTGTATGTGGAGAGATGCCACCTCACCTCCGGGGCACTGCAGATGTATTAAAGAACAAGAAAAAAACAGATAAACACTTTTTTGAAAGCAATAAATGTTGATTAGGTAGACATAATCCACACAGTCATTATTCAAAAGTGAACTGGTGCACCAATGTCATATCTTGTATTGAAGTCCGTTGCTCCTTTAAGCAAGAATGCCATTGAATTATTTGCTGGTCTAAATATGAATAGGTGTTTCTTACAGTTTTTCTGTAAATGCCCCACCTTTAGTTTATGAAAGCACTACTGCCACCTCAAGGCCACAGGACAGAAATGTGCTCATTATCTAAATTGATTCGGTTTTCTTTTTAAAAGTTAAATTACTGGAGGCATACATGGTTTCAAGTGTAATAATCAGATATCCTTACTAGCTTTTCATCACTTTTTACGGCCGATGTTGCACATCTTCGTTCATGTTATGACAGCATTTCTTTGTCGTTAAAGAGGCCCTATTCTACTCTTTGAAGGTTTCCCTCTCCTGTAGTGTGTTATATAGGTTTTCGACCCTAACCCTAACCCTAACCCCCCCCCCCCCCCAATTGTTGGAAACACTAAACCAAAATCCTGCATACGTAATGTAATGTGCTCAGATCCCTATGAATCTCAAAATATTGTAATAGGGGGAGGCGTGTGGCGCAGTGGAAGAGCCTTGGTGTTGGGATCAGTGTTCAATTCCCACTGCAGTCAGCATGTCATTGTGTCCCTGAGACACTTCACCCCAAATCGCTCCTGTGGGGATTGTCCACAGTATTGAGTATGTAAGTTGCTTTGGATAAAAGCATCTAACAAGTAACATGTAATGTAATGTAATGTAATAGGGTGGCATGCTATTCTGGGATGTTCAGGGTGCAGAGACAGTGTTCAGCATGTTGACAGCCTGCTGGTCCTGAAGCAGAGCCTCCTGTACCGCCTCCTGAAGGTTTGGAGGGGGGACAGTCTGTGGACCGCCACCAGGTTCTGCCCGGACCCCCCTCTGTAGTCCAACTCATCGTTGTGGTTGATTCCATAATGGTGTTTGAACCATACAGTCAGCTTTTACCCGAAATATAAATATATACCAGAGACCCCTTATGTCCTCCCACCACCATATGGGAAAAGATAGATTGCTGTCAGGTTTTCACAGGATGTTTTTTTTAATTATTTGTCCCATATCAACAAAGACAAAATCCTTTCATTACATTTTTCTTTCCAAGTATGGCTCAACTTCTCAGTATGCCATACATGAATTAACTGGAATGTTCCACAGCAAGCATGAATACACATGCCAGATGTGTACTCAGTAAACAGCCGTATCAGTTTTAAAACAGACATTAGCTGAGTGTGCTGATATATGTGTGCGCCCACACCTCGACTGAATTTAACATTGTGCTCAATAAGATCAGATATTGTGAAAAACATTTTTTTTAAAGTGTGTATTACACAAGCCAAAAGTTTTATATGTTGAGTCTAAAATTATTTATTTAAATTCTGATCCGTCATGATAAAGTTTAATTACCAACAATTGCTTAATAAAGTAACACATAGCTGAACATGCTTACCATGGCAACTTCTTGGCCTAAAAGTATCAAATCACATCCCACAGCTGCTTCAAGCATACATCCGAGCAGTGTAATGTAGTATGTAGCCTTTTAGTTATTGAATTGTACCCTGTACAGTGTCAGATTAATGTCAGCATTTACAGATAAATAGTTTTGAGTGGTGTGATCTGAGAAACAATATTTTTATGTTCCCGAAATCTGCAGATCACTTTTAAGCTTGTTATTACCATTGATTTCCAAAGGGGCTGCAACTCTCTTCACAAGGGCCAGAGACAACATGCAGGGTTGTTGACAGAGTGACATTATGCAATGTTAGATGAGGTTATCCTTGAACACGGAGATGTGTTGATCTGACTATATGATCATTTTTAAGGTTGGAATAGAAGGTACCTTACACTACCTTAAAATGAGGTAGTAGAGGTAAATGACCTATAGTTTAATCAACATTTTGAAAATGAAGTTGAACCTCGACCATGCATTTAACAACACATATTGGCAATAATCAAATATTAAAATAACTTTGCAGGGCCACTTGTTGAGTTCCCTGCGAATAGAATGCTGTGTGTGAAGAAACCAGAGTGTGTGTATGGGGGAGATTGTGCTTGGAAAAGGAGGGATCAATAAATGTGACACAGTATGCTGGACTCTATTACCCCACCACCACCCTAACCCTCGGCTGGGCAAATATGTAACAATGAGTAAGTCTGTGCAGATGGCATAACCTTATATAATGTTACGAAAGAGCCAGGTTGGACTGAATGAGTTCATCAACTGCTGCTGTTTGACCACCGTGTGAGCCAGCAAGTGGATCGGCTCTCAGAGATATTACAGCCCTGTCAGATAATAATGTATAGCACGTGTGACCTCTAAGAAAATAAAAGACAGATAAAAGACAGGGACTAAATTAATATACGGTTAAACTTTTACATTTACAATAAGTGCTTTTTTAATCATAAAAACAACCGGAATGTACCACACCCTTACAGAAATTCAGTTTTGGCCACTACGGACTGGTTTTCTAATGTGGGGGCTAAATGTACCATCTGTTATGCAACGCATTTGGCACCAATACATGTTTTTAGGTGGTTATGTATATATATATATTTTATCAGCCACATATTCAAACAAGGAGACACAAACACACTTGGATGGTCAGCATTATGCTGCCACAGAGGGCATGAGTCAGGGGCAAAGTCTTGTTTTCACCCTGCTCCTCCCCTTCAGACCAGGAATAGCAGAGATCATCGTAACCAGGCCAGACACACACACACACGCACGCACGCATGCACGCACGCACACACACACACCCACACACACACACACACACACACACACACACACACACACACACACACACACACACACACACACACACACACACACACACACACACACACACACACACACACACACACACGTACTGTTATGTAGATGTTCTTTCTGATCTTGAGATTGTTTACACTTTGTGGTTACACTTCATCATATCAATAACGCAACATATAAGTACAGGAACACTGAAATTGAGCCAAACTATTACACATGAAATAATGTATAACATTGTTAAACTTTGTTAATCTCAACAGGTCAGTGCAGTGAAAGGAGTGACACAGTATTTGAGAGGAACATCATATTTAAGAGGAAACTGCCTCAGAGTTCAATCCTTTACTGGACATGCTTTATGTTAAGATGGAAATGTGTTTTATGCGATTCATATAAACAACATCCAATAACTGTTCCTGCAGACTCAGAAGTTGTTGAGGTCTTCAATCTGATTAGGACGCAGAGCCTTTTATAAAGTAAAGCATTTTATAGTTTTTTGTTCATTTTCTGCTACTAAAGTTGTCAAATTATCATTGAGAGACATCACAACTTCAGTAAAAGCTAAATCCTGGAAACTTAAAACCAATCTCTTGTATAAATACGTTTATTTGATCAGAAATAAAAAGGTGTGTCCTCTATAAGTAAAGCCCTGTGCCACATACATTCACAGCCTCATTGTCCAGACCTTGGTGGCTTTTAAGTATTTTAATGTCTTTTATAGTCATTGTTTGTCCTGTCCTCCTTGAACCCTGCTGTTTGCACAGGCCTGTAAGAGCATGAGCCAGGATGGTGTCTGTAGATTTCAGCTCTGCCTTCAAAACTCTGCTGCAGAACAACCTCTCCCACTGCATGCCCCTGACTCCACCTGTAGGCTGATGAGAGGACTTCCGTCTGACAGAAAGCAGTGTATGAAGCTGGAGAACCCTTTTCAATGTCCAATGGTGAGGGAGCTGAATCTTTCCAAAAAGCCAGCAGGGCAGGATTGATGACAAAGTGTCTGAAATGTACAATGGGTGATGGCTACACCCATCACTGAGCTATACAGCACTGAGTTCTGGACCTTCTTCCCTGTTTTCCAGGTTCCCCTCATGAACTTTCAACCAGCTCTTGAACAATTTGAGATTGTACACTATAAGGTCTGTGCTACAACACAGCAAGTAACCTATTTCATTAACTGAGATGAACAAAATGTTCATTTCAGTATTCATTACGACCCTGGCTCAGCAGTGCATCGTCAAAAACATATCCCTTAAAAACCCAGTCCTGGAAACTACACCGATGACTTAAAGGTCCCATGTCATGGCCATTTCTACTGATCATAATTCCATTGTTGAGCTCTACTAGAATAGATTTATATTGTGCAATTTTCCAAACTCACCCCCCCAGCGCGTCACAGTTTTGCCGCTGAGAGAGTGTGTGTGTGGAGCTCCACATTGGGTATGGTCACGTCACTGTACCCAGGAAGAAAAAGAGAAATCTCCAACGAGGCGTTCTGGGGCAGCATAGACAGGTCTTTTCTGTGTTAGAGTTTTACTCGCTACAGGGTGTACTTTGAGGGTTTGTGACTTTGCAGACCGTTTACATGCATAAAAACCTTCATAACACACAAGGGGACGGGTAATAACCGGAAAAGCATGATGTAGTGGCACAAACTCCCTATGAGTTATGCCGCTGAGAGGCTAAAATGTGCTCTTTGCTGTGACGCGTTCCATATAAGAGTCCGAAGTCATTCATAGTCCATAGTGTTTAATAAAACGCAAACAAACAATGTACAACTCCCGACCTGAGGGTCAACAGAAAGTATCAGAGCAAATTCACCCTCTTCCTACATCATATCCTCCCAAACCGGCATCCAACAGGTGACCTAAATAACAATAAACCACACCCACGTGACCATTGCCGGAAGTGATAAACAATAAGAATGAAACGCGATGCAAACAGAAATGAAGATAATAATACAAATAATAAGTAATGGCAAAACAAGGATTTTGGCTCCTACACATGACATGGGACCTTTAAAATAACTATATTTTATTAATCAAATTCTTACCATATTTTTCACCACAAACCAACTGATGGGAACAGCCTCCTTGCTTTTGTCCTCAAAGTATTCCTCTAATCTATACATACTGTTGGATGCTGTAGTCATAATAATAAGGCTGGGGTGTTCCTGATAGGGTCTCCCATTGCTAATTGGTCTCAG